TTGTTGTATCCATAGTGTTGATCAGTACATTTGTACGTTTGATTTGGTCTAATCTCATAGAAAATATAGTATTGTGTCTAAACTTATCTTTTCTGATCTAAAGGCTTTGTATCTTTTGCCTTCATATATAATAATCAGAAATAAAATATATATTATTTCGGCTTGATTGCTTTCACCAGGTCTACTGACTTTGCACCAGATTACATTGAAGCCTTTTTTCGGCATCTCTTCTTAGTATTGATCCTTAATTAATTGCCATAGTCTAACTATTAACTACAGCAAGCTAAGCTGATGTATGTTTGAAAAATTCAGATCAAAGAGAAATTAGAAGATTATTTTAGCTGGTTTTGTCGAACAAAGCAGACTGTTAGTAAATAGAATTTATTATAAGCATTCTTAGTTTATTACCCAACCTTTTGTGTTTTCACAGAGATATAATAGTTCCTTAGCAGATAAACTATCTCACAAAAGTAATATTAACAGAAAAAATTAATTAGATGCTTTCCTTCAATCAAAGGGGTCCAAAACCTGAATTCTTAGCACACCACCACAACTAAAAACCACTATTTTTTCCGTTGAAATTCCCACTGAAAAATGTTCCGTGTCTATTCCTACACATATTTTGAATGAATCAGTTAGAAAAGAAAAAATAGTAAATAGTAATGTTTTTGAGAATCTGTTTATAAACACGCGTTTTCCCACTGAGATGGTTCGGTGGAAAATGGATGGAAAAATCATATTTTGTAACACAAATTTTTCATTGATTCGCAGGGGGGTCTAGTAGTGCAGCAGGAACATTGGAAGGGGAATGTAATTCAAATATTTGCAAGCAAAGATAGAATCATCAGGGAAATCATATCAACATGTAAATATTTTTCTAATTAACAGAAGAAAGATTCTACATCTTAAAATATATAAGTAAAATTCGCGTTACAATTATGAAACACTCGCTAGAAATAAAAAGAAACTAATTCTGCATATATGAGAAACATAGGACAGAATTTTCATTTAATAATTTTTTTTTGTTTATACCTTGTCCATACCTAGATTACAATGATACTGATTCTCATTTTTAGTGGGAAATCACTAGCAAAGTAACATTGGTTCCTAAATACTTACAAGTTGCAACAATACCTCCAACTATCTAACAACATGTGTTCCTTAAAAAAGTTAAAGTCCTTTGATTCTCTGATGAAAATATCAAGAGTTGGATAATGAGTACTGATGAGAAGGAATCAGATTCAATCGCAAATCCCAGCATCTATCTGTCCTTGTGGAATGTTTTAGGCATTGTGTTTGGTCCTTTAAATTCTGTTGCTCAAACTACAATTACTCAGCAGTAAGAATAAGGCTAATTTACTTTGAAAAAAATCAAGAAAAGATGAGCTCCATGCGATATTGGGAATCAACGTCCAATGATGATTACCTTGATCATCTTAAGAAAATGGAGAAAGCCCCAACTATGCACCCTGATATCCCTCTCTACCCCAATGCTTACTGTGTTTTCAAAAACAAATTAAGTTATGAAGGACAACAGTCTAACATGAATTGTAAAAACACCGAGTCCCAGAAGAAGGTCCAGTTCGCGGAATTAAACAAGAATGACAAAGAGAAGCCCAAGAATTTTCAGCTTCACAAATGGAGGACTTTCAAAGTGTAATACTAAAGTGTTTCCATCTTATTAGCACCTACTCTTCTTCAATAATCTAAATAGTTTGCTATATTATGTATAGATGTCTGTTTTACAATCAGTTTGCTTCCCAAAAGAAGAAGAGAAGAAAACATTTTATGTTTATCTTGTTGTAGTATCCATAGAGTTAATAAGTAGATTTTTACTTTTGGTTTGGTCTAATATCTAATAGAAACTATAGTATTATGTCTAAACTCATCTAGTTTCCATTGGCCTATGCTGTTCTAAGCTTTTTTATTCATTTACATCATATATCAGAATAAAGCTAAGCATAAATTAGGTGTAATTTTATTTCAACATATGGTTGTAGCAATAGGGCGTTGACATTTTTAATCAAGTAGATGAGTGTACGAGTCTCTCTAGTCATGTCAAAAGACGAGCAAGAGCAAGAATACGAATCTATTTGTGAAAAGTGACCAAAGATATAGAAAGATGACAGTACTAGAACAGATACAGACTAGCAAAATTGCTGGTTTGAGTACAAAAAAGACTGCGATGAAAGATTTCAATGGATTTACATGTAATATCAGCCAACATCATGCTTGTATTGGAACAAGAAACGCGTTAATGATGGGGCAGAACTGTGAGCTTGATGTATGGATATGACAAGTTCAGATAAAAAAGGAACTAAACCTCAGAAGATAGCAGAAATGCAATGTCTTAAAAAATGATTTATAGTCCACTTTGTCAGACAAAGTAGGCTTAGCTAGTGAAACTATAAAGTTTGAGAGATCTGTAAACATTATTTACACAACCTTTATCTTTTCCACATAGATATGATAGGGTCTTAGCAGCTAAAATTTTTCACAAAGGAAATTAACAGAATATATTATGAGATGATTTCCTTCTATTAAAGAGGATTTCTAAGGACACCGGTATTGTCACCACAAACGTTGAAAGGTGTAACTCGAATACTTGCAACCAAGATAGAATCATCAGTGAGACCATGTCGCCAGTGTTATGTTTTAAACATCGAAGCTATATTACTAGAACTCTTCTAAAATGTTACCAAGTGAGTGTCAAATCCTCCAAAAATAGTGTATATTTTGAGGATCTGACATGGGTGTGACTCCGATCAACATAGTTAAAAAGTGAGGAGGTTCTCTGTGATTAGGAATGGGAAGAGGAGAAGAACATAGTTTCATGTTGTTGAATCTTATCTGGTAAAACTACTTTTTTATCTAGTTTCATCATGAAGCTGAATAGAATCTAGCCCTACAGATATGGTCAGAAGTTTCAAACTTGGAAGCGTACAAATTACAATACGTTATTCTTCAAAGATAACAGAAGAATAAAATGTCTTTTAAGCTCTTCAGTACGCTTATTGGTCTTTCCTACTAACTGGAATATCCACTGTTTGACACAGACTAAAGGGCAAGGCATCTGATTCAAGGGCTATTTTGGTGCTCTTAGACATCATCCAATAAGAATACTCAGCACAAGTATTTTGACTATAAAATGCTATACTTATTTAGGCTTTAGCATAACATCAAACAAAAATAAGAAAAATGTTTTGGAGACCACATTGCCCTTCCTTTGAGCAGCCCTATTCTGACAGAGCTGTTGAGGATTTTATTGCTCGCGCAACAAGAATGCCAGTAGTTGAATCTTCTGTGCACGGGTACCGAAATGGCCACACCATGATCAAAGAGGAGAGAGTCATTTGGGAAGAACAGCACAATATGCATGGAAATCGGTATAACTACAGCTTCCCTAGGGGAATTCACCAAGGGTATCGTGCTCCTGAAGCTCAAAAGAAAGTCCACTTTGTGGAACGTGACAAAACAACTGAAACCACGGAGAAAAAGTTTCATAATGAAGATGATAGCTTCATCCAAAGGAATAACAAGAGCAATATGTATGGCAGTCCATCTAAATACAACTTTCCTAGTGGATATCACTATAGGTCTCCTCCCCCTGAAGCTCAAAAGAAAGCCCACTTTGTGGAACGTGACAGAACAACTGAAGCCACGGAGAAAAAGTTTGATAATGAAGATGATAGCTTCATTCAAAGGAATAACAAGAGCAATATGTATGGCAATCCGTCTAAATACAACTTTCCTAGTGCATATCACCATAGGTCCCCTCCCACTGAAGCTCAAAAGAAAGCCCACTTTGTGGAGCCTGACAAAACCACTGAAGTTGGTAGGAAGGAGAAACATAAAGTCAGTGAGGAAAAGGTTGATAATGAAGCTGATAACTTCATCAAGAGGAAACACAAGAACTTTGAGCTTGCAAAGATGGATACTTTTAAGGTCTATTGAGCATACAACTAATGCTTAGCAGATACACAGTTATGAATGATCACTAGGTCATACTGAATCACTAGTATAATAAGATGTCTGTTGTATCACACTTGATCATAGGCTGTCTTTACAGTTCTATTGACTATAAATCTGTATGCAAGTACTTGATATGTAATGAAACTTGAAGTTACTACCTATTTGCTCATCTTTTGCATATAGTTAATCAAATAGGACAGGCTTTGGCATCATCCAAAGCTTTTCCCTCATCTAGTTTGCACCGGCTTCTCCTAGTTCATCTAAAACATAGAAGAACCAAGCCTCACTTTTCAACAATATCCAAAACTCAACAGGCTGTCCATCTTACTAAAACAAATCTTCTACTTCTATTCTGTTATCGCTAGCAACAGTTAGCAGAAAAGGGAGAAAGCATAATCCTCAAGTTGAAAGTAGAAAATGCAATAAAGCAATTAAAGACGTAGAACCAACTGTTTTACTAAGGATTTCTGTTATATACACTAACAATTAAAGCATTTTTACACTATTACTGTAGTTTTACCAGTAATAGCTCGTAATATACTGTATTTTTGAGGTTATCAAATTAAACTTGACATACACAGTTACTTGTTATTGTAAATCATAAGAAAACTATGTACTGTAACTTCACTAATAGTTCGTAAATAGATTCCTTTATAGGAAGAAATTGCCTGTTTATTCATTACTGTAATGTCAGCTCTTGCACAACACACTCACAAATTACTGCTCCCTGTTCACAACGGTCCCTTCAAGTTCCAATCATGAAAGAATCTTCAAAAGCAAGGCACAATAATTCAGTTGAGGAAAGAAGAAAATATTTCCTAAATCTCCTATCTTTAAGGCATATGATTCTTTTTTTATATAGTGCAGCTCAATCAATCTTTTAGCTGATGTGGGAAGTGTGGGGACTTCGACTCGTGGGACGGGAACAAAAACACCAACACATCCCCACCCAGTGGCTATACGTTAGCCACTCCTTTTTTTTTTTTTTTCATTTATTCACTCAACAGGTGGATGGATGAAGCTGTAGGCTTCAGTACAATGCATCTTGTGCTTCCTCTCAGCTAAGTGATGATAATTATATGAAAAATCGCGTAAAAGATAAAGAAGAATCAGCATATGTGATAAGGAAAAAAATCAAGAAACAGAGCTCTCACGGCTTCTTTCAGAAAAAATGAACCCAAATTTTACATATTACTACTTGATATTAACCATCCTTGTCTAGTGTTGAATCAGCATCATTATATCTTCTTGAAGACACCCTATTGAGCAAATTTCTTAAGCTATTCTTACTCTCTTTCCTCTTCTGTCCAATTCGGATAGACCCATCCAATGGATGGTCCAGCATTAGCCCAGTTTCTAACTTTTTGGACACATTGAGTATCTCATAAGAATCCCAAAGAGACTGGCTGAAATCCCATCTACTAATTGTTCCATCATATTCTCTGGAGGTTGCCTTGTTCATAGCTTCAAGCTTGAATCTTGATGGCTTATTCTTGAAATTGTGGCGGTGGGCGTCGAATTCAGCAGTAGTTCCACGGCTGCTCGAGTGTCCATGCCAGGCTTGTGCCACAGCCTTGAGGATTTCAACATCATGTTCTTCATCTTGATGAGGCTCCTGCTTTTTCTTCATAGTGTGTTTAGAGTAACTTTTGTCTTAAGTGAGAGATATTGTATGGGGGGCCACGTTATCTTGAGACAAGAAGAACCTCATGTTGGGTGACTTTAGGAGATGGAAACTTGTAATCGTAACTCTATTAGTGGCCTTAGATTAGGAAGATGTACTCTTCAATAAGGGAGGTAGGAGATAATAAAGTTTGGCACACAAAAAAAAATAAAATCAACGTTATTATATTTTATTTTTTTCTAGAACATACTTATTTTTTGGCACCTACTTTCATCACATATTCAAAGGATGAGTTTGATAGAACCCTTTATTGCTAGTGACATATGTTTTTATCTAACATAATGATATATATTGTGATCAATAGATTACAATTTTAAACTGCATTATAATGACTTTAGATCTTCAATAAAAGAGCATTTGAAAAGGCAATTCTCACACTTGAAAGGTGGTTTTTGGAGTGAATTTGTGGAAGATTTTTGTGGTTCAGGTCTTCCTTGAACCTCACGCACAGCTAGAGCTTTAGTGCACTGAACTGTCATTTCTATGTTGAAGGTTGAGACTAGAAGCATAGAGCATCCTCAAGCACAATATACAAGGGAGTCTTGACTCTTTATTCATCACTGCAAGAGGCCCATGAACATCGTGAAAACTTATTATATAGTTGAATGTTGCAACCCCAAGTTGTTATGATGGAGCTAGAGTTTGATCAAGAGCTCGAAGAAACCAAAATTAGACTTCTCCTAGTTGTAAACAAAATTTAGCAGCCAACAAATGAGTCAAAAAACGAAGACAGCTAAAATTGCAGTTTATACCAGTCAAGTGATACCGTATCATATGAACTTCAAACCTACAAATCAGTAACAAGAAACTCCGAAAAATCCAATACAATAAATGGACTTTTCTCTGTGTAAAATTTAAAATTGTCCAGTGACAAATGGTAAACAAAGTGAAAAGTAATGACAACAAAATTTTCAACCTGATAACATAAATATTGCACATTTGAGTGTATATAACACAAATGAAAATGACATGATGGCCAAAGACTGCATTTCTCAGCTGCACGGTGGTGTTGACCTCTCAAACTGAAGTAGCTTCTTAGCTTACTCTCCATATTCGACAGTTCAGAGTGAATGCAGAAAACAACTATTTGTAGCCAGGCGGTTTGTAATTTCCCTTGAACCAACAGAATGTTAATTACAGCTAGTCTCACAAATACCATCAGTTCAATTATCAGGCTGGCAGGCGGCAGCAGAAGCAGAAAGAATTTGTTGATTTTTATGAGTTCAACATTTGAGTAATCTTACAACACTTAAATCAAACACTACCATGGCAAAGCTTTAAAAATAAAGTGCATCTACTATATTGACAACATTAGAGATAGTCAAATCCCAAGTTCATGACAGACAATAGTTGCAGAATTTAATCAAACAACCCTCTAACAAAATTTGACTGGAATAATGGTAAAAGGAATATTTGATGATTCAACAAGTGACTTATCATTATTGTGCTCACTCTTATTGTTCCAAGCAGACTGCAAGGAACCCGCCCCCGCCCCCGCCCCATCCCAGTCTGGGGCCCCCTTGCTGGAAAGTCAGATATAAAGGTTAAATAGATCAAAGAGGTGAAAAAATCAAACATCAAGGAAGAAACAATGGATTTCACATCTTTTTCTCAGTCATTAATTGTGACTTCGTTTCACAATATGTACAATCACTGCTATTGAGAAACAATAAGCAATGCTCATTTATGGACATGCTACTCATTAGAAAGAATCACAATGCCGGAATCAAGCTTCGACCTTTAAAGACTGTATCCCTGGAAGAAGAGCTGGGCAAAGACTTGGGGAATTCTCCTACATTATCAAGCAGACTACTAAATTGGACTATCCGAGCATATAAACCTCCAAGAATATCATAGAATCCAAACAATGGGCATAAGACGACTCCAATAGCGCTTCGTAATTCTTAATTGCAGTATTTGGATCTTTTAACTTGTCAATATACTTCTATAGTTTATGTGCTCCTACCAGTGGAACTTTCATATAGCATTCTAATATATGTTCCACAAGATAACCTACTAGTCATCTTTTTTTTTTTGACATAGGTACAAAGCCTACAAGTCCTCTTTATAGTAACAAAAGAGAAGAGATTGTGTGTTCGAGGGTTTTCCCAATATATGTGAATTATGCCACTTCTAATTACAGAAGGAGCCAACAAAAATATTATGATGCCATTGCATCTCTTTTTTTCCGTTATAAGAAATTACCTAGAAAACAAAATACTTTATATCTCTTCAATGGCTAATTGACTATAGATGAAAAAGATCAAGACTGAAAAAGTTCAAACCTAAACCTAGGTGTACATTCACAGTGCAGGATGAAGAGGAGAAAGGAGATAGAGCATCAGCAAAATCACCTAGAAGAGGCAGTTAAACAAAACATATCTCCATGGATCAAAACAAGCTTTACTAGTGGTAACAGGATGAATTCTTGGCAAGATCTTTGATATTTAACCAACACAAACAAGAGCAATTTTGCAGTAGAATTAGTGTGTAAAAGATTTTGCACGAAGCTTAGCTGAAAACTTATCAGTTTCCATCATATTTCTACTGTTCTAGCTAACTTGCAGTAGAATTAGGGTGTATTTTGCACGAAGCTTAGCTGTAAATTTATCAGCTTCACTTATAGTTCTTCTTTTGCAAGAGGATTGAGGAATAGATGATTGATACTCTGTAGAAATACTACCCCAGTAAGGAAAAGGTATCATTTTCTGGAGAAAGTTTGTCTAAACAAGATCCCTTTTATTTGTATAGAATAAGTATCTTGTTTAGACAAACTCTTTTTATCTACAAATACTAAACGTGAACTAGTGAAAAGCTTTTAGAGTTTCACAATGTCATTGAATATTTTCTTCAATTAGATGACCGAGAAACTGACTTTTAGTCTGATTAACCAATTAATATCAGCAGAGGTGCTCAGATAGAATCTACAATTTCGTCAAAGCTACAGCAAAGGGAACAAAAACCTGTCGAACAGTAACCACATTAAATTACCTTGCTTAGGCACCAAATCTTGTTGCTATCAAGCAATTTGTGCAACAGCCTACGATATCATGTCTTACATTCTATCAGATACTTTGGTTACTCTAATTTGCCTTTTGATGAATTAGAATCTTTCTTCTTTTTTATTTAAAAAAGTAACTATGGTGTCTAACGTAGCTTCAGCGCACCTCAACTAATTCCACGTGATACCTATTACCTCCCCAACCAGCACATATTGAGCCAATTTGATGACTTTTGAGTCTTTTGTTCAACAGTTTTCTCTGGATGACGGTTCATCATGGTTTCAGCTATTCACATCGTCGGTTGCGAAGCAATTCTTGAGAATTCAAGAAACGGTAGAGGAAGAAAACAATCTGGTATAAGTCTAGATGAGTGATAATTATAAACTCAAAATTCCAGGGGTACAGGCTATTATTGAATTAGCTAATCTCTAGGAATATTATGCAGTTAAATATCTATATATGTGGAATATATGTAGAGTCACCCACTTCTCTCAGGTTTCACAAGTTTGAGACAGAATAGCACTAAATCACGAGTCTCACGGCTCATTGCATCTCGGTAAAAATATGTGTGAAGCAGCAGAAGCATGTGAGTTATCATCTTGCCACTTTTTTCAAGTAATATAAGAACATATAATTGTGAAATCAACACAATGAATACAAGGAAATCACCCTTATTCAGGTTCTAAGTGAAAGATCTTAAAGACATGAACCTGGCAAGATTTTTGCATGCATTGACTGAACCAGCTAATAGAGTGTTATCTGGACCTATCTAATTAACTTGTGTATTTGTCCTTTAAAGTTAAAGATCCTGGCGAGGTTAGCATCGGGAGTTCGTATCAGACACTAACCTTAATCCTCCTCCCAGATTTCACTAATTGCACCTTGTGCCTACACAGAAGTCGAGCTCTGCCGGGAGAACCTTTTCGCTTTTCCACTGTTAGAATTTGACGAACCAAAGAGGCCACAAATTGCTGGGTGTTGCCGAATATGATATGGGCACTTGTAGAGCAGATCTTTTGCCTCAGAATGTCTACCTTCTGCAAAGAAGGACTGGAAAACATGTTGATAGGCTGAAACAGATGGATAGTCCTTGACGCTCAACGCCTTTAAAAACTCCACTGCATCTTCCACTGTTCCTGACTTTGAAATATATTGAAGAAAGGGTTCTGGAAAAGGTGGATAATTGTGTTTCTTCATCCGACGGAGTAGATCAAGCGCTTCTTCGAATTTCCTTTCCCCCAAGAGCTTTTGGATGACAAGTTTGTATGTTGCTTGCCATGGGCGCATTTGAAACTTATTCACCAACTCGGTCAATAACTGATATGCACCAAAAACTCTTCTTTGACTCAAAAAACCATTAAGTAGTACATCCAACAGATCAGCATCTGTATCAACATTTTTCTCCATCATCTTAGCAAAACAAAACAGCGCCTTATCAACTTCACCAGCAAAACAATGCCCTTGTATTAGAACAGTCCAAGTCTTGATATCCGGAATGCATCCACATTCTTCCATCACATCTATCACCTTTGATGCCTCCTCCAGCCTCCTCACTTTGCAAAGTCCATATATTAATTGGCTATAGGTAATATTGTCAGGTTCAAATCCTGCATCTCTCATAGCTTCTGTTATCTTCTCTGCTTCCTCAAATCGCCCCAAGTTAGTCAAACACCTATGAATGACATCATAAATAATCTTTGAGCGTGAATGCCCTGCGGCCTCAAATTTTTCCACAACTCTAAATAGCAAATCAAGATCTGAGGAATATGACTGTGCAATGGATCTTAAAAGAATATTGCACTCACCAAGTGATGGTTTAAACTGACCATCCATCATCAGTTCATATAGTTCTACTGCATCTTTCAACATCTTAATCTTCTGAAAATGCCTCGAGATCTTTATATATGTATCAAGATCTATTTCAAACCCAAGGCTCATCATCTCTTTTACTACACCCCAGAACTCCTCAATCGACTCTTCTCGGCAAAGAACCCTAAGAATCCCATTATAAGTAACAGTGCTGTGCTGAAAATCTAAATTCCTCGCAACCCATTTGAAAAAGCTGAAAGCTTTCAGTGGATTTCCTACTTCTCTAAGTTCCTTCAACACCCTAAGCACAAAATTATCCGACACCGAGAGTTTCATCTCCCCTAATTGTCTCTCCACCTCAACTCCCCATTCTTGTTTTGTAATCAATTCAGACACATCTTTCGCCACATCACCCATAGCATTATCTTTAATCATCCTCCCATAAAAATGCTTCAAAGCAGTGGCATCAGTTTCCATTTTCAAATTCCGAAAAATAGAATAAATTGATTTATACGTTTCCTCATCAATATAAAACCCGTTCTCTTTCATTTCCTTAATAGTAGTCCAAAAGTCCTTCATTGAATCCCTGTTAGCATAAATTCTAAGCATCAGACTGTACATAGAAGAACTAGGTTTAAACCCCTTTTGCTTAACAACCCATTTCAAGAAATCCCCTGCCTTTCGCGGTTCTTTATCAAGTTTCTTCAACAAATACATAACAGCTTCATGGGTCACAGGAAAGTCATTTTTTCCTAAATCCTTTTCTAATTGTTTCGACCAGTCGTTGGATAGTATAATGTCAACAAAAGATTCAGTTTTTGATGAAAAGAAGACATTTTGACTTGAACCGAGAATACTAGTAGAAGTGTAAATTTGCGTGAGAAGTGAAGGAGAAAGATATAAGTGTTGAGTCACCTGATGATTGGAAGAAGTGGCTCGTGAAAGCTGAGTGAAAAAAAGAGAATTCCTCAATCGAAGCGAACTCAGTATTCTCTTGCCGTGATTCATGGCTGCCGGATGCAAAACCCTTGAGAAACCCTTGAAAGAAAATCAAATATTTCTTATTTTAATTCAAATTCTTACCAAAAGGAGATGGAGTTTTGTTTAGTGATGCTTTTTTATATGCATGTATTTTTTCTAATATCATTTCTATTCTAAAAAGTAGTAAATCATATAATTTAACTAATTTATTTTAATTGTACCATCAAATTCTGTTTTAAAAGAATATTTTAAAATAAGTATTCACCTAATGTTCTAGATTTGATTTCATATACAAGTTACTATCACTACTCCAATTATCTTTTTCACTTTATTTAAAAATTTTAAAATTAAAATTGTATGTAATCATAATTTTATAAATAATATTTTATGGTTTGAATGTCCTTGAAATAAAACACATGAAATGTGATTTAAACATAAAATTTAATCTAAGGTTATATATAAAAAAAAAGATTTTAGTGTAATTTTTAAAAAATATTTATAAGAAATTTAAGAATAAATATAAGATTAGAGTGTTTTTCAAATTCTTATATTTAAATATTATTGTGATCAAATTAATGTTTAAATGGAAATAAATTAACAAAAGATTCTCATGGTCAAACGAATTCTTCATGTTTTAGGCTAGAAAATGCATAAATATCATTTTAGACTGTAATCGAAATTTTATAAATATACATTAATTAAATTAAGGTCCTATTAGGATCCTTCCTATTACCCCTAAACTTTTTCTTGTAATTTTGTGCATTTTTTTTGCTTACGTGGCATCCAAATATTTTTTATGTGCATCAATTGCGTGAAGTCACAAAATGTATCATGTAAGGCAAAAAATGTATAAAATTACATAAAAATAAATTTAGAAAAATAATAGAATAAGATGTATCTCTAATATTTTAATCATAGTCAAGGAAGTACTTATATATTTTCTCAGTAATTTCTTATCTTTAACTTAATACTTAAAAGTCGTTTCTCTATTTAAAATGGACTATTAAGAGGTTTGGATGAGTTTCAAAGCTGGTCAAACTGACTTAAAAATTAGTTTTTGACTTGTTGGAGTGTTTGACAATTATCAAAAGTCAAAAACGACTTTTTTAAGCCAAAAGCTAAAAACTAGATGAGGGGTGTTTTTTTTTCCAACTTAATAGTCATTTTATGTTGTCATGTATATTACTTTTTTACCCTTAATTCTTTTATTTTTATTTTTATTTTTATTATTTTATTTTATTATTATTATTTTATTATATTATTATTAGTAGTAGTAGTTGTATTAATATTTGATAATTTAATGATAATTTTTTGAGTTGCATTGGTGATGGCTAAATTATCCAAGAATAGTTTGATAAAATTGCATAACAATAATATTGAATATAATGTATTGATAATATTTATATTATTAATATATTTGATAAAGTGTATCAAAAAAAGTAATAATTTATGCCTTAGCTTTGTATTTTTTTCATATTTAAATAATTGAATTATTGATTTTTTTTCTTTCTTCCAATATTTCTTTTTCATTTTATAGTTTATACACTTTATATTTTCTACAAGATTTGAGAATAATTAAAAAGATAATAGTAGAAAATAATTCTCTACAAATCTAAAATACATTCTATTTAGAAATATGTCATATTCGAATGATTCATATAATATTAGAGTAAATGTATATTTTTATTGATCAACTTGTAGAATTTTCACATAATTTGAGTATGATATGATTGTGGACTTTTGGTTATTATTGAAGTTGCTGGTGAAGTATTGACATCTTATATGATTGTAATAGAATTTATATATTAGTCATCTCAATAAAATTAGTGGCTTAAACTTCAATACGAATAAGAGGCCTTAAATATATATACATATATATTATAACAACAATTATAATTGAGTGTTGCATATAATGCTTGTTTTTCAAGCATGTTTAGATGAATTCTAATGGCATCTAAGTACAAGTTATTAAGTTAGAAATTTCAACTTTTGATTGTTATCTTCTTCATAGTTTTGATTATTTGGCTTTAAAATCAAGTACTTGACAGTATTTTTATTTTTTATTCGAACATTACAAAAGAATTTAAGAATTATTTTGATTTAAAAAAACTTAAAATAAATTAATTCAACAAGTTGTAGTATAGTGTTCTTAATAAACATAAAGTTTTTGGCTTTAGGTAAGAAGATTTAAATATTTGTTTGTAATACATTACCTAGAATATTGATGTAAAAATTATGTTTATTAATATAAAAATTTAAGTTATTTAATTCAAAATTCTTAAACATTTTATGATTTTAAAAACAATAGCTTTTCTTCCTCTCCTTTTTAATATTAATTTTTTTTAATCTTTAATAGTAAATTATGTGAAAATAAAATCATAAAAATCATTAGTAAACTTATCTGATGCCTCAAAATTTTGGAGGCTTAAACAAAAGTGAAAATTAAATTGTCGCATATTAAAATTATGTTTCCAATGTCTTAAAAAATTCATTTAAATTGGTTTAAAAGTCTTTAAGTCGTCTTTTTACTTCTGAAAGTATTTGGTAAATATAAAGAATAATTTAAAATAAGTAAAAAAAATTACCTAAAATAAGTTATGAAGCGTTTGACAAAGTAAAGAATGACTTAAAAATAAGTCAGAAATTGAAAGTAGATCTCCCCCAATTTAATAGTATTCTTTAAGATGTTCGATAAAAGCAATTTAGTTATTTTCAACTCAATGTTCGTGTGTATTATTTTTTTCTTGTTAGAATAACGTAATTTAGATAAAAAAAATTAGTGTTAATTTAGCTCTAGGAAAAACGCTTAACCCATCCATACAAAAATAGATTAGTATAATTGATTCTTACAATTGTTATGTCAATCTTTTGAACATTCTTATTATATTTTCATTAAGTGTATTTTGTTAAAAATAAAACAGAGGTAACTAAGATTTGAATTAAATTTGAAAAGAAAAAACATTTATTTCATAACTTAAAAAGTAAAACAACAATTTCTATATCATTATCATTTCAATAGATTGCTAATAACCAAAATTATACCAATAAGTCCTTGAACCTTGTCACTAGCAGCTTTCAATTGGGGTGCTTCAGCGGGTGGACCTGAAAAATTGTCATCACACGTAGAAGGATCATCCAAAGCAGCAGATGCATGAATATTCAAACCAGAATAATCTCCAGACTTTAAGAGTGCAGGCAATCCTCTAAGTTCATCAATACCGTCATTATAATTCTCCAAACACGAACTATATCGTGTCTTTAATTTTGGATCTGTAGCCTGTTTAAGCAATGTATTAACAAGATCGTGTGCAGATTGCATGTTTTTTAATGATAAGTCTATTGAAATCGTTGCAAGCCCTTGAAGATTTGCACCTTTGGATCGAGAATCCCCTCGTAAAGCCGATAAACATATTGCTGGTTTTAGTGCTTTTGAGCAAACATCGCTTATTAAATCTGCTCTCACATTTGTTAAAGTGAAGGAGATTGATAACAGAGAAACTAGCAAAAACTTGTATGAGAGTGCCATTTTTGTATAATGAGTGAATTTTATCTCATAAATTGTGTTGTGTTATGCACTTTATATAGTTAGTTGTATTCCTAATAAAAAAGGCATGGAATTAAAACGTGTAGGATTTTAAGGAAAGAAAATTAAGAATATACCATATTGGACAATTTTTATTTACGGTTAATGTGAGTGTATTTTTGGTAGGGTAAAAATAATTAGAACCTTATTTTAATATTTTCCTTAATGTAGGTGATTACGTTCTATATTTTTACTTTTTAGTATCAGTCTTCACTTATAAAATTACAGTATTATAATATGTTTCCTTCTTCAAATGTATTTTCCTCTTTTATTAGTATATGTGGAATTAGAATTTATAGAATAAAAAATATATTTAATTAACTTAACATGGATAGTTTGGCGGATTATAAGATACAAATCAAAAGAGAATTAAACATATATTATGTCTCTCCTAATTTGAGTGATTCCCTTCAAATAAAAAAATATTTTAGTATTAATTTAATTTTAAATTACTGTTTTAATGAAATGATTTATAGTCTTCCATACATATACATGATTTATTTTAGACTATAAAACACAAATTTTAAAAATCTAAACGTCATTTTAAACTTTATATCCAATCAAACGTCTTCGCATATATTGAAACAGAAAGAGTGTGATTATATAATTCACATCAGTGTAGATATTGGAGGATTGATGCACCTACGACCTAGTGTAACAAAATTTGCATATGAAAATATTATTAAGTAATTCTTTTAAGTTTGGACGAATTAATGATCCACCTATATATTAACTCATGTCATCTTAAAGTTGGGTTGATAAGCTGGGCCGGAGCTGGCACATGTTGATTATGAGTTTTAATAGAATTTAAAAATTTTAACAGTCATAAGTGTTCTCAATATTTCTTGCAAAAAAATTAATGTATTTTATCCGTTTCAAGTTAAATGAATCAGGAAAGAAAAGCTCATATGAGTCTTTTTGAGTTAAGAGTCGTAAATAGTTTATAAACATAATTAAGTGCTGAAATTGTTCTATAAAGAAACAGTCATACTATGTTTTAATTATGAGTGTGATGAATTGATGGTCAAACAAATTCATGTTCAGTAATAATTTCCAAACACAATATTTTCAATGTTTTGGGAAATAAAATTTATATTTTTAGAAATTATATAAATGTACTACAAGTCATATTTACTAGTTAACAATTTAAAATATTTAAAAAGCATTAAAAAAAATATGGCAAAAGAAGTAAATCCTTTGACTAGTAAAATTGTAAAGTCAAATAAATTGGAACATCAAATTACGCTAAAATAGATAATAAGCATGTTTGGTTAAAAGACGATTTGGTGTAGCTTGAATGGTAAGCATTCCTCATTTTTCATTCGAAGATTGTGAGTTCGAGTCACCAAGGAAGCAAAAGAGGTGAAAGCTTCTAGGGAGAGGATGAAAAAGAAAGCATGTTCGGTTAAAAATATTGATAACCTTATTTTAGTAAATTGACTAAAATACCTTAATTATAATTCAAAAGTAAGGAAAATTGATAATCACTGATAAGAAATGTAAAGACAGTTAGGATACGGTATAATTCGATTTTATATATTATTGATTTGGTTTATTTGTTTTCGACCTTTTATCAATTTTGGGTTAATTGATTTTTGTTCTTAACGGTTTGATTTTCAATTTTACTGATAAGAAGATGCTTATAAATAAATATAACTTCTACAATATTTTGACATGACAAGACAATAATATAACTTTACAGAACGCTCATAAAATAGGAACAATAATAACTACAACTAAAAGAACTATACATGCAATACAAAGAAAAATTAAGAGGAATAGGATTATTGGTGTTTTGTATAATGTGAAGTTGTGAACTCAAAGTAGTAAATTAGTACCGTCTTTAATGGGTTATTGATTTGCCCTATAACTCGATATTAAAAAATCAAAATCAAACCGATAATATGATAATTTTTTTTATTTAACCATTAAAAACCTGTCGACCAAATAAAATTTTTTCAGTTCAATTATCGATAAATTCAATTTTATTTAGTTCAATTATCGATCAATTCAATTTTTATAAGCATATTATTTTTTTTCACCTCAAACTGGTGTTTAATTTCCTCCAAAATCTTTCAATATTTTTGGCTCTGTTATTTTTTTAATGGTATTATTTTCAAGGTCGTAAACCATTAAAATTAATACCATAACACTTTGAAGAATTCGAATGATCATACTCATTTTTTATTAATCAATTACTCATTTTCAAATTTTACAGAAAGAAATAAAAAGTAAATAAAATTATTAAAATAGGGTCGGATAGTTTATTTAAAAGGAGTTAATATATGGGTCGGATTAGGTGTTTATGGATCCGAATCCCTATCTATTTTCATATAAATGTCATGTGGTAATATCAAAATGACATGACAATTCCATGTGGAATTTAAAGAAATTAAAAATGAGTTGGATATATACAGCATATCAACTAACACATATTAGGACATATCTAAACGAAAAGTTGAATAACAAGAGCATGAGAAACCAAACTTTAAACAGGATATATTTGAACCTTTACGAATAATTTACGGACATATTCGATTCTTTTCTCTAAAACTGTATCAAAGGAGTACTAATTATTGACACTCACGCGTCATAGAGGTTGAATGGTGTGCTGTGTGGAAATCTCAATTGTTTACACGGGGATCAATTCTAACTTAATGCAAATAGCATGAAAATTCAAAGAAATTTTTCTTTATTAATCTTCTCAATACCTTAGGTTGCTTAATAATTTTTTTTACTAATTTCCTCGATATGTTGGATTATTTTACTTATAATTCTATTTTTCAATCTATGATACCTTCACTCATTGAATGTAGCAGTATATACTTTTTTTTAAAAAAAAAAACTTGCATAATTTATACGACAGTATATTTAAATACATGACTTTCATCTCTACTTCGATAAAAACACATAAAACCCTCCCAACTAGTTGAACATTCAAAGAATCATAATCAAAATTTATTTCAGAAAAAGTACAGTGATCTAATATTAATAAACAATTCAGACGTTTGAAAAATCTAATTTTATAAATATTTTTTAATGATTAATGCAAATGATAAACTTTTTTGATGTTATATATTATTTTGAGTCCGTCAAATCATGAAATAAAATTCACGCAATTGAAATTTTTTGAAAAAGAATCAAGAAATATCTGTGGAAGGACCAAAAAAATTGTATTTTGGTTGCTGACGGATGAGAAATGCTTCTATATATGTCATGAGGACGCAAGTAGACGCAACTGCAAATAGTGTGCAAATTAAATGAAAATAAATACTACTGCTATATATGATTTCACGAGATTTGATACGTGACACGTCCACAGAAGTAGAAAATTCTAGTTCAGACGTTACAATCTAAATGGAATACTTAAACAAATATCCAGACATAATTCGTCGATGTGCAACCGTTATTCGTTTAATCAATGATTTGGGGACATCAGCGGTAATGTTATTATCATTGATTTAAAATAAACTCAATTTAGATATTCGAAGTATTGACCAAACTAAGCCATTATATAAAGTAATTCACCAAAATAATATATTTTTTTAAAATTTTACAAAATTAGTATAAACGTATTTCACAGTAACGTTTTAGGGTATATTTTATTTTTTAAAAGCTGACGGCGTCAGATTGATATACGTTACTCACAGTAACGTTTTAGGAGTAATATACGTTACTCACAGTAACGTTTTAGGAGTAAAACGTTACTCACAGTAACGTCTTACTCTTAAAACGTTACTCACAGTAAGGTTTTAGGAGTGAAACGTTACTCAAAAAAACGTTTAAGGAGTAAAACGTTACTCACAATAACGTATATCAATCTAATGCTGTTAGTTTTTAAAAATTGAAATATACCCTAAAATGTTACTGTGAAATACGTTTATACTAATTTTGCAAAATTTTGAAAAAATATATTATTTTGATAAATTATTTTATATAATGACTTAATTTGATAAAAAAAAATCTAAATATTCTATTTGTTTCGGTTTTTTTTTTAATTTGTTTTTATTATTTAGGATGAATTAAAAAGGAGTGATGTTCCCAAGTCAATACAATGTTACATGAATGAAAAGAGTGTTTCCGAAGAAGAGGCAAGAGAACACATCAATTTATTGATAAAGGAGATGTGGGAACTAATGAACAAAGACCAAATTAGAAAAGAAGTGCTATTTTCTGAAGAATTTATTAGAATTGTGTTAACTTTTTGAAGAACAGCACACTGTATGTATCAGCATGGAGATGGGCAAGGAATTCAAAATTCTCACATTAAAAATCAGATTTCCAAATTACTCTTTGAGCCTCTCATTATGTAAGTAATTTCATTGTGTACTAGATACTAAGAGCCCGTGCTCAATGCATATTGTCTCAATTATATGACATGCATGTAATTTTTAAAAGACTAAACAATTTTTCAAATATGATGCATACTTTAAATTATATTTATTGTAATTTATGTTATTATAAAATGATATAGGTTATTCCTTCGTCACAGTTTATGCCCGTATGATCTATTGATTTTTTTTATTTTTGTAAATAGTTTTATTCTTCGATATTTTGGTTTCTCCTGTATGATTTTTTATTTTTTATTTTTGTGAATAGTTTTGTTATGATTTAACTTGTGTAGGCGTGCAACTGTTTATACATACCTCGACCGGTCTCCCATGACCCACCTAGGGGAGCTAGAAGGGTTCGACCAAATAAAAAGGTAACGCTAAATGATCAGAAAAAACTATCAAAATTTGATCACAAACTTAAATAGTCTATAATGATTTTTTTATAAATAAATTGAATTTTTTTAATTAAAAAATATTAAAATTAAAATAATAAAAAATATTCAAAAAGATAAAATAACATAAAGTGAAATATTTTATTTTTATTATTCTGATTAAATTTTGACTAAATTATTTGACCAAAAGGATCTTTCCTTTTTATTTTTTATTAAGAAATTTAGCTAAAATTAATTTTTAAAAAATTAATTCAGAATACAATCACATATCACACTTAACGTCACTATTCCACTATTTAGAATCCATAAAGTTTTTAAAATTTTCAAAATAAAAATAAAAAACAGCAGGAAACGAAAACGACAAAAAGTAAGAAATAATTTTAAACTGTTCGACAAAAAAAAAATAAAAAAAATACAGAAGACATTTAATATATCGTTATTAAAACCATGTAATTAAGCGCTTGAACCAAATTCAAGAAGGGAAGCATTTACTTATAAAATTTCCATGTATATATATCACCCTTACAAAAATCCAACAAGAACCAAAATAACATCGATAAGTCCTCGAAGATTATCACTAGCTTCTCTGAGTTTTGGCACTTCAACTGGTGGTTCTATAAAGTTGTTATCACACGTAGAAGGTTCACGTATAGCAGCAGAAGCATTAGCACTCAAACCGTAATAGTCTTTAGACTTCAATAAGTCTGGCATTTTTGCAACAATATCACTTGCCTTATTATAATTCCCCAAACACAAAGTATATCGCGATTTTAATTTTGGATCTGTTGTCCCTTTAAGCAATGTGCTAACGAGATTACATGCAAATGTTGCATTCTTTTGTGATAAATCTATTACGATTGCCATAAGACCTTCAGGTTTTGCACCTTTGGATCGAGGATCCTCCCTTAAAGCATAATAACATACCTTCTTCACATCTGTTTTCGAGCAAATCTCATCTATCAAATCACCTTTCACACTTGTTAATGTGAAGGAGATTGATAGTATCATAAATATGGCGAAGTTGTATGAGTGTGCCATTTTGGATGGCAAGATGTTTTTGTTTTTATAACTTATGTTGTGATACTATGCACTTTATATAGCCCTTGTTTCAATTGATGAATATGTTAGAGATGAGTAAATAATTAAAGTGTACAAGACTTTTTAGGGAAAAAATGTAAATAATTAAAGTGAGTAGGACTTTTTAGGGGAAAAAATCATTGTATATTCTAAAATATATTATTACATTTAATTTTACAAAACTTTGGCTAAAAAAAGATTGCGTTTGACTGAAAAAAGACAACATTAGCAAGAAATTTTCAGGATGGTATAATTTAACTAATTTTCCAATCTAAAGTCAAACATCAATTAATTTATTGTGAAAATATATATAAATATTATCATCAACCACAAATTTTTTAAAAAATTGGAATCTTACGGTTTATTTGATAAGTTGTGTTCGGATGAATTTTAGTAATTATATTTTCAACAATTGGAAATATAATTACCTGTCGAATTTAATTTTTTTTAAAAGTAATTGTTGCCTTTAAGAAAGCAGAAGAATGGGAAAAAAAAAGATCATAATAAATAAGGAAAAACAAATTTGGTCAAAAGATTAATCAATCAATTGTTCGACCAAATTGACAGTACATGTATCTCAAATACATGCTTATTAATCAAATACATATAATTAAATGTATTTAGATAATGAATGTAACTGAAAAACAGAAATCAATGTGTATTAACATCTTTGGAGTATCTACGGCTCCTAAAAATATCTAAAAGTTTGAATTTGTGTGTGTCTGATTTGTTCATTATATGTATCTAAACTATTCTATTATGTATCTGATGTTTCTTCCATGTATATGATATATATTTAATGATTATATGTATTTGATCTGTTCATTCTATGCACCTGAACTATTTTTCTATGTATCTAATATAAAAATTTAATGAAAGTCTGATTTCAACCGCTATGAAATGACCCTTTTTCGAATAACTCAATGCTGGTGCGCCTTAACTTTAATGAGTGATTGATCTCAATGTATTTTACTTCAAAATGGGTATTACTAAATGTCAGTTTTAAGGGATGTGTTTATTTAATTGTATTTTTTAAAAGAGATGGTAACAAATTTTAAAGATGATAATATATATAATTATCTAAAAGTAAAAATAAAATTAATGTATATGATAGTGATGTATATATGCTTAGGTAGTTTTTCCATACCATTCCTCCAATGTATGACAATTTCTCTATAATTTTGTTTTTTTTATTGGTTTAATCTGAATACATTAGATATAAATTAGGTGAAAGTCCAGAATGATGATATATTGAGGCAAATTAAGTCTTCCTCATGGGTCATATTCCCTTAATTTTCTTTGTTACAGACAAATTACACCGCATTTCTTTTTTTCACTTTTGTATTTTTCTTTTCCGACCGGAAAATATTTATACCACATGATATATATTTGATGAATTCTACTTTTAAGATACACACAAGCAGATGCGAAGAAAAGATAAAATTAAATTTGATATATTCTAGTTCAAGGTTTTCAGCATGGAAAATACAATGTATTTGTAAAATTATAGGTTCATAATTTAATACATTAATTTATTGATATTTTAATAGTTTTTCATACATATATATATATTAAGTTTGATTAAATCCATAGCCAGTACACATTCTACACTGCATATAACAGATGAAGAACTTATACTTTCACTTGTAAAAGATTCAATAATGGTTCGATCGCTATCTATATAGCATAAGATGAATAATTTTTTTTATTTCCATATAGTGTTCGACATATCATTACCATAAATTTTAATTAATTTGAATTTATCACATTAGAGATTGACTAAATAAAAAAGATGCTTTCTCATCTAGATGATCATTTCATTTACAAGACTCGAACTCGATATCATAGAAAAGTGGGGTAGGAGTGGGGGTGGGGGCGACCACCAAAACTAATTGGGGCCAAAATGAAAAAAAGCTGCAGATGTTACCACATCCTTTTTCCAACAACCAACCGATAAAAGGAAACATAGAAGAGCTAAAAATTCAAACAGCATTAGAAGAAAGGCTCTTTTTTAGCGCACTTTAGAAAAAAGCCCCCCAACTTTAGGGCACATATATACAATTCCATGCGTCTTTCTTATTCTTAAGAGAAAAGCTTTAATTCCACTTTATTTATCCCTTTTCAATTTGTCCCCCTACCTCTTAAAAACGTGCCCCACCGCAACACTAAAGAAACAATCCTTGCATGCGTATTTTAGGATCCACTACAACCAAGCTAGCTAGTACTTACTATATATGCGTGTTCTTCAATTTTTCACCCAAATTTATTCTTATATATACCCTAATTGAAGAGTGAGTGATCTTATATTTATCCATCGAATCACTATGGTGATTCAATTTATCAACTTATGTTTTCAAGACGAGATGTTAGGTGATGACACAAATCGTCTGAGGTCAGCTAAACAGTCTCGACACAACAATATGATGTTTGGGAAGGTGAGAGATCCGAGTTGAAATCTTGAGAGTAGAATGACGATATAGTCGTTCATGCAAAGGGGAATTAAGCACTCCTGGTCCGATAAACTGTTAAGTTCTTTATTTGTTGTTTGTAATCTTTTTTTTTTCTTTACTATTTGAGTGAGACTGTGAGAGTCATAAGTTTCATCTTGTGCATGGATCTTGATGAGGATTAACCTTTTTTTTCTTTCCTTTCTGTTTCTAGTTATTGATTCTTAAGATATAGTGGATTTATATTTGATGTTTTGGCGTTAGTTGTTGTTTTATTCAAATAAGTTTGGTGAAGTAATTAGGATAAAGTGTTCGTTCAGTATTCCTTCTACGTTAATTTCTTTACAATTTTCCAAATTTATTTCGGTGTTCAGATCCTTTATGTATCCCTCGTATTTTTTATAAGGATTTGATTGGAACATAATGTAACGATTAACGATGCCAAAATGAAACTTAATCTTTAGTTCTTGCAACTTAACTAGTTCGATCCACCCATATGAGTTGTGGTGGAGCAATGAGTACTCCTTCATTCTTAATCAAGAAGTCTTGGATTCGAGCCCCCTTATTACAGAGTCTCTTTTATTAGAAAGTGTTTCATCCCTCAATGTGAAACTTTCTGGCATGAATCCAAATTTGGAATGAGCAACTTCACGTGTTTGCTCAAGGGTTCTTGGACTCTTAGGTACTTGTATCATATTGTCATATTCTTGATTGTTTTGTGCTGATTTTCTTATCATATTTGAGTTTTAGTTCCTTCAAGTATTACCATAATTGCTTTTAGATTTCACGAAAGAAAAATATAATTCTCCTCCGTATTTGGTTATGCTTTCCTTATAAGAAAAGTTAGAAAATCTATAAATTGAATCCCTATCTTCATAGCACAATATCATAATATCTACAATGTAGTCATTTAGATACTTTTGTTTATGGGGAGATTATTTTCTAACAGTTATAAATATTTTTTTTTATTAGTTTTCATATAATAATATAATATTTTTAGTATCACCATCTTAATTTGCAATTGTAAACTTGCACATGATACCCTAATCACTTTCGAACTTAAACATTTTCGTATTTGTGTGATGCTCACTTGCTTGAGCATGAATGACAAATCAACATTCACTCCAGATTCCGTGTGTCAAAATATTGATTAAATTTTTATATTATGTAACAAAATTCTAATTTCATAAACTGAAAAAGACAAATAAATGTGGTGAAGGATGGTGACGAGATAGCTAGCTTCAAGTAGAATATTTGACAGTAACCTTAAGCAAAAAGGACAAATAATATTATTACATGATGTATGTTGTTGTATTTTCTTTTACTGAGTTTCAGATTCTTAATATTTGCGATGAAACTAAAGTTGATTACAAAGTGTTGACACACTATCTTCTTTTACTAGTGACTAAAGCACTTTGTTTTTTCATCATGCTTATTTACCTTATTGTGTTCAGGTGTGACAGTGTCCCCTCTATTTTTGGTAAAATTATTGACTAAATTGATGCTTGCTTTAGCTTATTCCATCTAAAAAGATGTAAAAAGAATTTAAATGAAGTACACTTGCCTTATGGATAGTATTTTCATGACAATTTTACTCATGGTTAGGTAAGCTTTTTATCCTTACCGAGTCACCGACTATCAAGCTTGTGTTTAAAAATATAATATAAAATTATGATTGCAAATCTCAATTTCTTCAAGAGAAAAAAACATAATTTTTCATTTTAAATCACGATTTTTTTTTTTTAAAAAAATGGAACACTTAGACTAATAAAATTATATTTTATATAAAATAGAAATGACCCACCGTGAAAGATATATTAACCATAATTATATTTATTGTTTACTAGTGGATCATTATAAAATTATATATATTTGAAATTAAGTTTATACACAAATATTTATTTATAAATGGATATATGTGTGTGTGTGAGATTTATCAATTGGAGTATCTTAAGATATTTTTATATTTTATTTTTGAACTATGGTTTGCACAAGTTAGATTGTATAAGAATTGAAGAAATTTTGATAAATTTTACAATTTGCAGAATTTTTCATATTTATGAAAAAAAGAAAACACAACTCAAAAAATCCAAATTGCTTTGCCGAAATAAAACTAAAACTTCTTATCATTGTGATTTCAACTGTGATTCAAACTAGCTCCAAATTAATAAATATTGAATGACATTAGGCGTGTGGTTTGTTTTTTCACTTAATCATGTTAATAAATTGAAGCCTATTTATTATGAAAAAAATTTAATGAATTTATGCATCAGTATGGTCATCAATTATGTTAAACTTTTTATAGTGAGTAGTGCAAATTTGTAAACTGAAAATGAAAAAAAAGAAGAAGAAGGTTTTTTGTAATTTTAACAATTGATTAAAACACCCACATCATGCCAGCTGACTAATTCAACTACATTAACGGCAATCTTATACTTTTACACATTAAATATTGAAACATTATTTATTGATTATAAATTAAACTTTCATGATTGGTTTAATTATTACTGTTTT